TCGGAATGCTGGTTATTCAACATTATGCAAGATTGCAGATATACTTTCTGGTAAACTAGCAACATTCGAAGATGATACAGAACTGTCACCAAACGACTTGACATTCTTCAAATATGCTCCTGTCACATCATGTGATGTGGAACAAAGTTTTTCCAAATACAAAACTATCCTTAGTGATAATCGGCGATCTTTCAAATTTGAAAATTTGAAAATGCATGTAGTTATAAATTGCAATTGTAACAGTGAAAATTGAGACGTGAATAACTCAGTGAAAATTGAGACGTGAATAGCTTGTGTTCTTTTAAATGGTATTTTTAGATAACAGAGTTAAGTTAGTGTCCATACCATGTGCACCAGTATTTGTCTAAAATATTAACGCAAATATCAGTGTTAAAAAGAAAACAATGAATGGTTTAATCCAGTACGAAATGTCGAAATTCCATCTGTTTTCTTTCCTTCAGAGACATAATAGTGTTAATTTGGTAAGTAGGACCTACTATCATATATTCATCATCTTTATTCTTAAACTCTAGTAAAAGTTGTAATTAAAATTGGGAAATTTTATGTCCCATTTAATATTTAAGGTCATATTTTACACTTTTTAGGTCATATTTGACATAATTTTGGGTCATAAGTGCATGCATATATTTATAGTTTTTAGGTCATAAAAATCCGGGCCCTAATGATTACAGTATTAGCTAACTGTTCAAAATCTGAGAATGGCCCTTCAGGAAATAACTTCTTCACCAAATGATATTTGTTAGCGCATGTGCACACTTGTGTGTTATAATTTTCTTTATGTGTACATTTTGTACATACATTTCTAAAGCAATATTTTCATGTGTCTTCAGTTACAAGGAAATAATGGAAATTTTCAGAGCTCCCAAACTTGATTTTGCTTTACTCTCTTAACATGAAAGGTAATATCTAATATTGTATAGCTTTAGTTTATAGCCACCCTGTATGTTGAAGATGTTCTGGTAGTTTGGCATACATTTCTGTCACCATCTTCGTGGTGAATGTCAGACACATGGGAAATGAACTAATATACAGGTCATATACTTGGACTGGGGGTAGTTGTTGTCCATCTTCACAGTTGAAAGTTCTGGGTGTAGTTGACAATTCCAGTATTTTCCATAATGATATGGATGTTCATGAGACTTCCATTTACTCTCCCCACATCATTGGGGAAACCACCAAAATAATCAAACACCCCTACAACTTTAACTGTGAAGGTGAATACAAACAGAACAAAGTCTAGCTGCATCTGTTATCCAGCCCCTATCCTTAACCTCGTTGGCCTTTTGCATTCGGTACCACCACACTGAACACCCCCAACCCTACTACCACTGCATTTCCTCCTGTTTCATTCATTCTGTTGCTGATGACTGCAATGTACACCAAAACAGTGGAACATCTACAACATGTGACACAACTAAGCTTTGAAATACAAAGTTACACATAGTCACTGGCTGTAAAAACCTAAGAACAAGTAATATTTAATATGCTAGAACTCTGAATGGCTTGTAGTTACTATAGGATTCTCACAATGGTGTATAACACACTGATATATTGGATTTCTGGACTTTATCCATCGTCCTGGTTTTTATTTGTTATCTTAAAAACCAGGACGATGGATAAAGTCCAGAAACCCAATATATCAGTCTGAATGGCTTGTTGTTTTTCATGTCTGCAATGTATTTGCACAAATACTGACCACCACACTTGACATACTTGACATATTCTTGGTTTGCAAATATTAAGAGTCACAAGTTCCAGTTTTACATCAGGGATACTCAGGTTGTAAAAGGATGCTTTGTTTTGGTATTATTACTGATGTCTTTATTACAGTTGCCTGCATATTTACCTCATTTGTAGACAGTTTGTTTTTATAAATTTCTGAAATGGGTCTCTGGCCTGTATGTCATATTGATTTGCAAGATCTGTTGCTTATTAGTATCGTCCAAAGTTTCATTTGTAAATCCTCAAAAGAAAATTTAAATCATATAAGATAAAATGGCGAAGCATATTATTATTTCTTCTATTACAATTCCAACTGCATACTTAATGCCTCTTAGGAACCTTAAACTGCTATGTTGTTGGAGTACCTTTAGATACCTTGCAAGTGAGTTTTTTGGATGTGAGTTGAACAGTGTGATAGTAAGCTTATTTCAATGACTGCAGCATATTCCACTGTGGACAAAAGACAAACACTATTTTAAGTTAGTAAGACAGGGCTTTTTGGAGTTTTCTGTGTGCGGTCTCATGATTGATACATATTTTGAGGCTACGTGAATCACAAGAATGTTAATATATGTTACTTTACATCAAAGAGACTATCCAAAATGTAATAGTTTAATATGCTGAGGATACTATGGATGGAGAAAATAATCATTGAAAATAAGAATAATTTTCAGGTTATTGAAATTTCAGTTACGTCTCATAAATCCAAGGATGAGAACTTTGAGGAGGAAGCATTCTTATTCCAGTATCCCTTCTTTTAATGCTTTGTCAATTTCAGTTGGAAGACCATGAGTTATTTATGGGCAAGAATATGCCATTTGTGTATCACATCAGGAAACCTCATTATTTCTTAAAGTGAAATTATTGTTATTGCGTTTCTGTTTTAATTTCTTCATAATGGCTACTTATATTTTTGTTTTTCCTGCTTTGTGATTGTGTCTTGCAGGTGAATCTACCTACCTGTGACATTCCTCCACCCTCTACCTCCTTGTCTGTGCCCGCCCAGTGCAGCGGGACGCACTATCCTGGTGCTTGGCTACTACTAACACATCCATCATCTGGCATGACGTTGGGTCCTCCTCACTCGCTCGCCTGCAGCAAGGCTGATGTACAATGCTACCGCATGTGTGCCTAGCTGTATCCTTTTAGTTTGGAACATAAAAAAGTGAATTCCTTATTTTATTTTTTATGAAGAGAAAGTGTGTGCATGTGTGTGTTAAATTTTAAGTGCTCCTGCATATATACATGTATAGAGAGAGAAAGACATACATATTTTTGGACACAAATATTAAAAATTAATTGAATATTTTTCTTTATAATTGGTATCGTATCCAGTCTTCACTTCTTTCATACCAACAGGTTTAGATACTGTGAAATGTATAGTACTGTAATTTCTGTCATCTGTCAAAGCTGTCTTTATTCTTAGGCCTTAAACTTATGTGTGCATTTTGTATGCAGATTAACTGAATTTTGTGTCTATGCTTTTAATTCAGTCCATCATAAAACGCCTAAAATTTAATTTGGATTTCTTCATGTATCAATGTTGTTATGTGTAATTGTGTGCTATAAGCGTGTGTGGTGGTCTGCATTACTTGTCTGTTTCGTTGTGAACAGAGGAACTGTTTAACAAGCAGAAAATCTCATTTCCATTTTCTGCACATGGTCTCCTCAACCACAGACTCATGTGTTTAATGGTGAATTTCTGCCACAGTTGTGTTAAGTGTTATGATTTTGGAGGATTCCTGAGTCCACAAGCATCTCGGTAACATCAAATATGTTTTACTGAAAATCATTATGGATGCATCATAACTATACTGAAATCTCAGTTACTATAGTACAAGTGAAGTATCAATTAAGAAAGTAATTTTTAATAATTTAATTATTTTATTCATTGAATTAGTTTTGCCTTACTTTGTACCTACAGTAGAAAATCGTACAGTGATATTAAGTCAGTTAAGGACAATGACAGTCAGGTGATTTTAATTTACATTATCAGTGCTTATGAAAGAAGGTGAGGCATTTATCATTGGACAGCATAATACATTGACTCATACATGTGATTTATCAGCAGGTTCCTTGTTACATCCCACTAGCGATACAATAAGCGGGTGTCAGAGAGCTGAATAAATTGAAATGAAATCAAGGACAGAATAATTGAAATTCATAAATATCCACAGGTGAATATTGGTCAAGGGACACATATAATCAGAGAAAAGTGAAATAATTCATAGCACCAGCCTGATACTAAGTGCAAGTGCACTTTTTATGCCATGGGTACTGCATTAACCTGATTTAAAGTTATTTATTATTGTAACATATGAATATTAAACTACTGAATTAACGTTGGTTTTCTCATGTTCTGCAAATGAAGATTTTTGTACCAAATTAAAATTCGTTTTGTATTTACCATGTTTTCCCATCTCTCCCCTGTGTAAACTGTGAATTGGCTGTGATTTAAGAGCTTACAGAGGAAATAAGGGTATACTTGGCAAATGAGATTTGTAACAGGAAAGAAGGGGTCACCAGTTGTGTGGTAGTTTATTGTATACAGTATACAGAGCTGAAAAATAATAAAATAATGTATTTCATCTACATCTTAACATGACACATTATATTATTGTGTTGGATATCATGCTTTATGTTCAGAAGGTACACACACTGCTAAATTCATAGTTAAAAACTACAAATCATCATGACTCAGTTCCTGCAAGTGAATGCTGGAATGGTATCAGTAATGGTGGCAGCAGTGGCAGTGGTGGTGGTGGTGCTGGTGGTTGTAGTAGTAGTAGTAGTATTAGTATTTTCTGCTAAAACACCATAACTATGAGACCAGATTATTATCTTTTGTCTGATTCTGACTGGTAGCTTTTGTTGCAGTTGTCTTTAATTTCTGCAGCACACAGCAGGGATATGAAGACAACTGTTATCTGGGATGTGATGCTGTATCTGGTTGAGGTTGGCTGACACTTCAGAGAACTATGCTGCCTCTGTCCATTGATTGAAGAGTAAGCCAAGCATGCTACCAACAAGAAGTAGGCAGCTCAGTTTCCTGCTGGTTACTTGCTTGATTTACTTTTTGATCTTAAGGTGGAGGTGGTATATTTTACAAGGAAGCTTAGTGAACTTCTACTGGACTACATGGTGCAGTATTCCAGAATAGAGTACTCTTCATAATCACTGTGAAAACCTCTAATCCAGCATAGTTGTGAGGTAGTTCCTTAAAAAAGACCAGAGTTACTACATCCTATACCTATATGCTATATAATGTCAATGCTTCTTTTGTCGTTCTCCAGTTATCTGTCTGCTTATACCCATTGCTAGTGAGCCATAATTCATGCAAATCTCTATAATATGTAAGTATGAACGACTTCATAGAAAAAGTAGTTGACTTTTACTTCACATACCTTGAACAATTTGTAGCATGTCATTGACGTGTTATATTGGAAGAAATTTCTGTCATTTCAAAGGATCCTGGTATCTGGATATGGAGCCAGTAAGTTTCTGTAAATGCTGAAAGTTTATTTCATATCACAAAGGACTGGATATTGTTGTAGGTAGCAGTGGAAGGTATATTTTATACAAAATATCAAATAATTTCAATAACATCTGTATTACATTAACAACTAAATTTACAATAGATTAATGTGCAAAGAAAATAATGTTCCTTTTCCAGTCTCTGGTTATTTCATTCTAATGTCTTTGTTGTGTCTCATGTACATGTTTGTGTCTGGGTCACTTCCCAGCCATTGTCACTGCTTTCCTTATTTTTTTAAGTAAAGCGAGACTTGTAGTATACATGTATGTGTTCCTTAATGTTCTATTTACCCCACCCATAATAATTTCTGAGCCAAATGCCCAAATGTCTTGATTCTCATACATATGACATTCTGTTGGAGTCCCTCCAATGTTCATAGGTTTTGGGCTTGTATTTTAGTGATTCCCAGTTTGAACCTCAGCCAGGAGACCAACTGTCCTGACTGAGATAGTTTATAATTTTCCTCAGGCCCTCTAGGCAAGTGCCAGGGTAGTATCTCAAGTTAAGCCTTGTGTGCTTCCTTCCATGCCTTTTTGAATTCCTTATTCACTAATCGTACCACCTGACAGTGTACTCTAAGCTGCTGACATTGTTGTTAAATGAACCATAAGTGCTTTAAATGAACGAAGGTTTTTGACACCACCTGACTTCCATGAGAGACTCTGAGATCCACACTGCTTTGTAGATGGAGCCAGTGGTTACATAATTTTTATGTTGTATGTAAAATAAAGTGGCAAACACGTGAAGTGTATTTGATTTTCCATATGACAGTACCCGCTGAAGAATGTAAGTGGGCACATAAACTGTAATATAATGATGAATCCCAAGCATAGCTGCAGATAATTTTTTTATGAAACATTTCTTTGTGATTGTAAAAGTTTTAAAATATGAGGTTATTTGTGACAATTTGAATTATTGAAGTATGTAATTGACATACATTATTGTTAATTTGTAATTTGTCTTAACCCTTATCTCCCAGTATATTTAAAAGAAAATGGGAATTGTAAATTTTGATGGTTTTCTGAGGGTTTGTAAGAGCAGTTAATTCATCATACCAACATAATATTGGTATAATTGTAAATTCTCTGTGAAATTTGTTTTATTTTCCAACCTGCAAAGTACACTGTAGAGCTCTGACTTTAGTGTCTCTTCTGTGCTTCATATGTGCATATGTGTGCTTGCAAGAAAGAAGAAAGAGCATAAAGTATCTGGAAATATGTAGTATTCTTCTTATATAATAATATATATAAATATTACCTTAAACATCTACTGGCAGACACAGACATTCAATTGATGTTAAATGCTAATTACATGTATATATGTGATGCATTAACTTCATTTGGTTTAACCATATCACATAGTTTCTGTTTGAACTTTGAAGCAAATGTGATTTCTTATGATATTTCTGAGGTTCTCACAGCAGCAGCTGTGACAGGTACTATCTTCTGGATTGTAATGCCATGTAGTTCAGAGAAAGCCCAACATTGCAGAGGAACATTAGGCTCTTTCTGAATTAATGGTGCTGTAGTCCAGAAGACCACACTTTTATGATTTCTTCTTCAAAATTTCAGTTAAAAGAATGGAAAAAATTCAGATACTTATAAATTTCACTGATAAAAGTAATGTTGCTGTGGACTGCAAGTATAGGACATCATGACCACTGTAGTACTATTTGAAGCAAACCTCTTGCTCTACAGTAGAATGTAAGGAATAAGTATCATTCTCATATTCAGTGTGTCTATGGCACACAGACTCTGAGAAAGATTCCACAGTTGTTTAAAATCGCCACATATGTTTTGTTGGCATATTGTGCAGTCTGTACAAATGGCTTTCATCCTTATCACTGCAGAATAAATTAGTATTGCAAGTACTCAAACATTGTTCCTGTAGCAAAATGAACTGACTGGCTTCATGTACTCTATTCATATTAAACCTCATCATATAGAGACTGTAGTGTTTTCTGCATGGCTGACTTCATCAGTTCAGTAAATATGATTTTAAGGTATTGTAGAAAGCCAAAATTGGATCCCAGCTGTTATATGTTATTTGACTAACACAGGGCTCAGATTGATGATTTAATTTATGGAACACTGAGTCTTATTTACAAATAATAACACAGTTTACAAGTATGCATCATCAGTTCATAATCCATTATATTGCTCTTGCATCGTTCCTTGCAGGCTGTCTGTATATTGCTTTATTGTGGACCTATTAGAGTGCACTGCCCCTAACAGTTCCTGAACTATTGTGCATGTTCATCAGTGGCAGGGATTGGTGGTAGTGCGCATACATGGCTATTAGTGATGCTTTATATTACCTAGCAATGGACACCTATACGTTATCTCTCCAGTGCCAAGATTCTGACTTTTAGGTGTCATATCACAGTATTTTAAGGTTACTCTATCCAAATTCCAGTCTTCCACGTTGAATTTTAGGTCATAAACATTGTTTGATTATATCTTTCTTACAGTGCTGTACTGTATATGCTCATGGATACAAGGGAGGAACAGATGATTTCAGATATCATAAAGATATATAACCATTTCCGTTTCTTGTACTGCATAAATTATTCTAAGATAAATTTGTTTGAGGGTAGGATAGATTCATTGCTCTTATATTTTTGACATCCATGATTTTATTCTGTGATTGTAATTGTTTATGTTAGGAAATAATTTAAACCCATACATTGGTTAAAAAATGTAGTCTAGCTTCTCATTAGTTACTACCCCTACATTTGTATGGAATGTACATAGAAAACATAGGAAGAAACATGATTAAGGTTGAAGTTCAGGCTCATTTTAATAAAATATGGCGCTCAGAGACTGAAGCAAACATTACCATATGTGTTACAAATTTTAGTCCCTGTTTGAAAGTATTGCCACATTGTTATATCCCGTCTCTTCCAAATAGAGTGTATCCAGACGAATACCATATCCCCCCCCCTCCCATTTTCTTTATCTGTGCTGAAAAGAAATTGTAACCAGGGGAGATTCCTTGGAAGAGGTTGTGCATTACAAAAGTAAAGTGAATAATTGTTTTGCATTTTATGTGGCATATTTTTAAAATTTTGTGTTCTTCATAATCAGAATTAAAATTGTCATAGTTTTTGCACATTGCTGACACAAGAACCCAAAACTGAATACACGTCTTCACTTTCAGAATCTGTGTTAGTGCAAAAGTTCAAATATTCTTTAATATTGTATATGAAACCCAACCTTGGGGACAGAAGAGGATCTTGTCATTTGAAGGAGAAAGCTCTAGATCGCATTAAGTGGAGGAATTGTTTTGGAAGAGACTGCGGGCCTGTCGTCTGACAGATTACTGATGATGATGATGATGATGAAACCCAGCTTGATGTATGTTAGTGATCTTGTTTTGTGTTTGCAGAGGACACAGACAATGGGGATGTTTTTTCTCAGTATCTCATAAATGGAATTGATTGTCGTATGGCCCCAGTGCAGGCTTCCTTTTTCAGCTTCCATAATTGTAAAAGAATTTGAATGGTGTTTACCTAAACAGTTTTTAAAGTAAAATGGGAGAGGAATGGCAATAGGAAGGACAAATAAATGGGTTAAGAAAGGAAGGATAGAGATAAAGATACAGGAGAGATAAAAGAAAAGGAGATAATGAAGATATGAAGGAAATTATTTTCCTCAAGAAGCTAAACAAGTCATAGTCAGGTGGTGGGATATCCTGAGATCCTTAATATGAACGTATTATTGTTCACTGACCTTTGTATTGGGAGTTAAAGCTTAACATTAGAATTAAAGTTGTCTGTAAACAGTAATAAATGAAGAGACTCCATTGAATTCTGAATGGGCATTATACTAATGAAAATATATTGCAGATTGTTGTATGTCTTAGTGTGGTTTGTAACTTTTTACCACATACTTGTTGATTCAGTTTTTCAAGTGCACTTAAAAAGTAGCCACTTGAACAGAAACATTCACGTAAGAAGTTAATTTACTTTGTCTCACAATAGATATCCTAACCTTCTTTCATAGGTTGCTGGAATTTGGTTCATAAACTGAGGTGTCTGTCTTGTTTTGATTGAAATTTATGTTTATGATTACTTAACATTTAGTTCAATACAGAAAAAATTAAACTGTGTTATACAGTGTTCCTTAACATTACTTTAAGAGTGTGTGAGACCATTGGTTCAGAACCTTAAGTTATGTAATATTGATTTACAGTTCATTCTGTTGGAAGTTCTGATGAAGTTAAATTGATTTTGCGAAGAGCATTCACCCACTAATGACAGTGGAAAACCCTTGATTTGCATAGTCCAAAATTGATAATTGGTAATAATGAGCAATTTCAGAAGGAAATCAGGCATATCCTGGAGACACGTGGGGCAGAGGTGATAATCATCTTCATACTCTGCCTACTTTACTCTTAATGAAAAGAGCCACAGTATGTACTGGGACAGGTTGGTGGAAACATGGCCAGTTTGGATATAATGATGGCCAAATATTAATCACATTATTCAGTCTTGAAAAAATGTATAAACCTATTCATATCATTTGAGTCCTCAGTGAGTGTCTGTCTTCATGACCGGAATTTTTCGTAGTGGTTATCTCTTCATCAAGACAAATTCTGTAATTAGGATGGTGTGGTTAGGATGCCTGCAGGATTCTTCAAGCAAGTTCCACCATTACTACAAAGCAGTCCAGTACTGCAAAATGCTTATTTTACTGTCACAAGTCAGCAATAGTCATCATCAGGTAGGAGTGCGACTCAGAAGCGTTGGCGATTTTGTATCTGTTCATTTGTGTTTACCATATAATTTATTGCTGATAGAATTGATCGGCAGTGCAGAGATCTGTGTCATAGCTCAGGTGATTAGCAGCTGGCCTTCCATCATGGCATCCCAGTTTACATTATGTGGGATTTGTGGTGAACAAAGTGGCAAGGTGGGGGGAAAGATTTCTCAGAGTAGTTCAGTTTCTCCCTGCCAGTTCTGTTTCAACCAACTGCTCCGTTTCGTTAATCATTCTACAGTTAGCACTATGTAGTCTCAATATTGACAGCATTATTAAGTAAATTTTTAACACAAACCACTGCTGCTATTACATAAAGCCATAAATTATATTATTGAAAAAGCTAACCAATAGTGGAGAGAGAATAGTTTTTATGTGTTCTTTCATTAATTATACATTATATAAAAATGTTAGGCCATTTGTGACACACGTAACACAATTCAGTTTGAGCATCATGTAAAGTAAGGCTTATATTAAACTAATTTCAGTCTGGTGACATTCATGTGGCAAGTTTTGGTATAGACAGTGTGCAATTTCACCAGAATCCTTTCTGTAACTTTAGATAGTAAACAAACATGGATGATTGTTCACAACCTTCCCAGTATGCATTCATTTCTTGTACCGTCTCCTGAGATTGCATAAAAATGTGCAGTAATACATTTGTTATTTTTGACGCATCTGCAGTTGATTTTATTAGTTTATACTGAACTGCATGATTCTGCTTTCTGGTTCTTATGTTATAAATTTGGAGTATGTAGCAGCAGATCTCAGTTTGGAAGAATGAGTTGTAAATTTCTCCTACCGACACAGTAATGCCAGTTCTCTTCCACATTAGGGACATGTAGAAAGTAATATCATACACACAGAGTTCAGTGGATGGTAAATTTTAGTCTGAAGCCATGGCATACTTGTAGTTTGAAACCAGTATAAAGTTACCAAATATAGAATGAGTTTAATTCTTGGAATTAAGTCTTTGTGATTGGTTTATGTTGTATATTTATGAGAATGAACTGTGAATGAAAGATGAAGGTTCAGGATCATTGGTTCATAATGAATGAACACAGGATTTGTATGACAAACAAAAGTTGAATATTTGCATGCACATTTTTCAAGAAACGTAAAATGAATAGTAAGAACACGGCATTATCATAGCGTAAGTGAATATCCTTTTCGACATTAACTTACAGAGTGCTGGATTATGTGTTTTGCCCGAGTGTTATTAGGTCTGAAGTTCTTAGTTTGTAGCCCACATATCCAGTTACCCTACCAGAATACCATGTATGTGGCCACGGGAGTTATCTGCTTTGCTGTTCTCGTTAGCACATTGACATTCTCTACTATTTTTTTTTCTTATTTATCATCACTTTATCTTAATTTGCTCAATCATGCCTTGTGTTGTTCTTACTTATAGCAAGCAATTTCAGCGTAAAAATCACTTTCCAGTGTCTGTGGCAAACCAAGCAAAATAATCCATAACATATTTCAGAGAATAATTTCAAGGGCTTACGTTGACCTTTTCAGGTTCTGAACTGACGTATGACAGCGTTTCTACAACATTAGTACAGATTAGCTGATAAATGTTTATAATACAATTTATACAGGTTTAAACTCACAGTAGCCATATACTCATAGCATCTACAGTTATATGAAAGTTCATTGCCTTGTTACATAAGTGAAATGCTGTTCTTGTATTCCAGTGGACTTTTAAAGCATCGTATGAAGTGGGAACATCATTTATTTAAATGTCATAACATTGCTAGCTCTGCCTCTCTTTGCTTCATGCTGTACAAATAGTTGCTAGATTTTTCTGCATTATGCAATTAAAAAAATCAATTATGTTCACGCATTTGTAATAAGAGTGGTATCACATAATAATTTAAAGATCTTCTATTGTAAAAGTTCTTCAGTAACTGGATGACAAAGAATTAAGCATATATGCATCACATGTGTAAGAGAATCCTTTGTTGGATCTTAATACTAGGTGGTTCAAATATGACCGGGACTGATTTAAAAAAAAAAACAACGTAATTGCCAAACACTTACTTGCACATGTCAGTCTTCAATGTACTCCCCTCCGGAGTCAACACATTTTTTCCAACTTTCTGGAAGCATCCTGATGCCCCCCCAAATAAAGACTTGTGGTTGGCGGCGTATGACGGCATCGTCCACAAACCACATGCCTTGCAATTCTGATTTGAGCCTTCCGAACAGGTAGAAATCACTTGGGGCCAAATTGGGACTGTACGGCGGATGTGTCAGAAGGTTCCATTTCAATTTCCAAAGGGTTTCCATTGTTGTTTTGGCCGTGTGGGGGTGTGGATTGTCTTGAAGGAAGGCTACCCGCTTTCCACCTGTCTTCCGCTTGGATCGGATCTTACTCCAAGTTCCTTGATAGTGATGCGCCCATTCTCATGAATAAGCACGTCTGCACGATCAATGTTCGGCACGATGATGGATGTTCGCGGCCAACAATCATGCGGTTCATTCTCCATGCGCTCTCTGCCCTCTCTGAAGCACTTATACCACTCAAACACACGGGTCCGTGAGAGACACTCTTCCCCATACTGTTATTGGAGTCTGTGGTGAATTTCAGTGGACTGGACGTTTTCTCCAACAAATTTGATCACAATGTATTGTTCCACACTCCGCGGTAACTTCTGTTATCTCTCATCACTCTAGCAACTTCCAGACAGGACTGAACAGATTCTAACCCTAACAGGAGGGAGGGGGAGGTTGTGGCTTCACTCTCGCAAGGTCACACAGCTGTTGCAAAGTGCGGCTTGTTTACAAAAAAATCAGTCCCGGTCATATTTGAACCACCTTGTAGTACAAGAAGCTCCTATGTGTATAGAAAATTGTGTTTTTTTCCCAGTGTGCAGTTCATTTAATATATTGAGACATTGCTTTCACGGAAAAGTGTTTTGTTTGTTCATCTGTTTTGGGAATTAATTGTATCAGATTGTTTGATACTAATATAAAATAATTACTTTGCTTGCAGATCAGCAAAATTCAGAAAGTGGCCACTTAACTCAAGCCTGATCAAAGACTGTATTTGCCTATACATCATAAATATGTCAGGACTTGATATAACTATTGTTATTTTAGAAGAAATTCATACATAATTTTTCTTCATAAATTGGTCAGTTTTATTTTGGTGGTTGCATTTGTCTTCCCCATCCTTGAATTAAACATGTATACTGAACTTATTAATTATATTTCATAGAAATTATAATGCAAGTGTAGTGCATACATGACAACAGAGCTTATTTGCATATAAATCCTTTGTTTAGTGATGAATATTGTGGTATAACCATTCGTACAGTATTGTTCATATGAGGCTATTTATTGTGTAATTCATATAGAGGTGCCAACTTTAAGCAACTACTCGTGAAGGGAATTCTGGTTGCTTGCATGGAATTAGAGATGAATTCAAGCTTTGCGGGTCCACAGGATAGAGTAACAAAAGTGCAGACAGTTCAGTGGTGTATGTATTATTGCTAATATAAAAAAGTCAGTACAGAATCATGTCATTATATGTTATAGGTTTCAGCAACAATTTTCTTTTCAGGAAGTTTGATATAAAAGTTTGTATATTTGAGGGATCACGTAGGATGTCTTGGATCCTAGTGAAGACATCACAGTTTATATTAGGCAGGTAAATTTTGTTAAGTTCTGTAACCTATGAGTTAAGATACATTTTAATATGGTATTGTGTTACCTGGCCTAATATTAACAAGATTTTTAGGACTGGAAGTCTGCATTAAGAAAGTTCTTCCCAGAACTTTGGTCCCTAAAGTTTTAGCTTTGGCTTTTTCAAACGTATTAGACAAATCCCAAGGCAGAGGAAGATCTCGACAATTATAGCAGTTGTGTATATAAATTGTAAAGCCAGTTATCCAAATTTGAGCTGAAGACTAATAATTTGAAGGAATAAAAGAGGAAGGAAATATAAACTAGAAAAAAATCGTTAGCAACTGCTGAGCTCCCCTTTGTTGTTATATATTATGCTTCGGTTCCATGTGACAGTCTTTTTGGTGAAAATGTTTATCACAGAGTCACAGAATTTTGGACTGTTTTCTAAGTCTTGAAGAATTATTGTCTCGGTTATTGGGTTATTGTCAAAAGAATGCAGGTATGAGTAGCATTTGAATCAGTAGTCTTGAGTGTTTGGGTACATACAGCACAGATTCTGGGATTTGCAGAAATACAGATCAATGAGTTTAAATAAATTATAACATTATTGTATACACCACCGAATAAATAATGAAATGGCTTTCCAGCCAGCACTTTGTATTAAACTGTCTGCCCTACTGCAATTTTATATATCAGTTGATAGTGTTTAAAGTACGGATGTGTAATTGTTCCTGCTGCTGTTATGTGAGTTTTTTTAACAAGTAAATAATTCCTTGTGTCATTATGATATGAATGTTTTGTAGTTATAATTACTCTGTTGTGTATGTATTTTAATGTTTCCTTGTTATAAAGAGGTAACAAGTAGTAAGTAATGATAATATTTGGAGTAGGGAACTCTTGTCTAACATGAAGCCAGGATTATAACATTATTTGTTTGAGTGTTAGCTTACATTTCATTTGAAGAATGCAGTCTTCTGGGATTTGGCACCGTGTATATGTGGTGTTAACCGACGTTTCGGAGGAACGTATCGCCCCCATCTTCAGGGTTGAAGAAAAAGTATAAGTAAATCTGCAAGCGACAACACCGTGAGACACGATAAAGCAGTCTGCTTTATCGTGTCTCACGGTGTTGTCGCTTGCAGATTTACTTATACTTTTTCTTCAACCCTGAAGATGGGGGCGATACGTTCCTCCGAAACGTCGGTTAACACCACATATACACGGTGCCAAATCCCAGAAGACTGCATTCTTCATAGTCACCGCCGTGAAAGCCTCAAATCTTATATACATTTCATTTGTTTTTCACATAACTGTGCTGCTTCTGTCTGCCTATATCTATGATTAGCTTGAGACAGTTAACATCTTTAAATATTTTAAGTAGTAGCCTATTTGAATGTGATTCTGGAAACTTCTGTCCTCCCCGCAAATTTATTTATATTATTTCCACCTTCTTCTTTCCTTTTGCTTTAATGCAGTCATTGAAGGTGGTACACAGTAGCGTAGTATGCTGCAAGCTCGAAGGTCACAGGTTCAGGTCCGAATGAGGTGTTTTTTTTTCTCCCAATTTACCTAATCCTTCCAGCCACACTATGGCCCAGGGGTTGACTCAGCTTCTAACAGAAATGAATACCAGGAATCTTCTGGGGGGGGGTAAAGGGCTGACAACCTTACCACCAGCTGTGAGCCGATTGGCTAGAAAAAATTTGGGAGCCTCAACATCTCACAACCCTATGGGTCTTCACAGCCTGTTACAGGGATAGCTTTACCTTATTTACCTTTATAGTCATTGAAGACAATTTTGTTAATATAGTATTGTCTTCACTTTCAGTATGAGTCAAGAACTGATATATTGGCTTTTATTTCATAGCAGTTTTTTCATGAAGGGCACATTTTCTATGGGCACTTTGATTTTCCCTGCCAGTTTTCAGTCTGTCAAGTACTCCATATTCATTAATCATCCTTTCATTGACACTGTTTCATGATGCTGACAGTATCGTTAAATAACCAACTTTAAAATATGTCACAGTCTGTCTCTGCCCCATAATTTCTAACAGCAGTGTGCGTGTTTTTGTTTCATCTGTTCTTATATCCTGGCCTTATGTTTATACAACATAATTAAGGGAAGTGTGTGCCTTTAATGATATGAACTGATGTGTTATATTTTGTAGTGTTCATTCTAGAGAGTACAAAATGGTTGACTTGATCTCAGTGAAAGGGAAGAAAAACATCATAAGGCTTAATATTCCACTTTCCATTCATGAACTGTGTGACTTTTTCATTGTTTATAAGAAGTGATGTGTGGTAAGCAATGTTGCATGCATAATGTTTTTGAAACTTCATGAACATAATTTGTTTTTGCCATTGTTCATATGCTGTTTTCGTTGTTCACAATGTGTTGCGGTTTTAATGTTAGTCTTCTTAACAAACTATTTACATAACATGTGTTTCATTATATTGAGAGGTCATATTTCATAATTAAAAATTTAAAAAGTATATCTTGAAATGATGTATGCTATGCATACTGGTAATAACAAAGTTGTGTATACCAACTTGAATTATATACTCGTATGTTAGAATGACCATTGTTCAGCAAATGCTTTGCATTAACGCCTCGTATGCTTTTGTTTTATGGTGGTAAGTTTTCTTGGGCTGTCAACTTAGGTGAAACAATTCTTTTTTATATTTTTTTTAAGTACTGTAATGTATAAGAAAGTGAATTGTCAGGTGATGTGTTTGGTCATGTTATGTGCATTGTGACTGAAGGAATTATCTGAAATGCTGAGCACTTGGAATACATGGAGTACTTAACAGCAACACAAAATAAACTCCAGACTGGAATTTTAATACTGTAGCACACTTTGAAAATAGTCTTAATATTTTAAAGAGGTCTGTCATTCTTGCCACAAAAATGATTGTGAAAGTGCATATTATGTTTTGATATTTTTAATATAATAATAATAATAATAATTGTAGGTTACTGTTGATTGTGACTTTAGGATAGTTGTAGAGTTCTAAAAATGGTGCCAGTGTTTTGGTGTTTGTTCCCATTGGATATTGTTTTGAATAAGTTTAAAGCAATGTATGATTGGAGAGGTTTTTTCAGATATCAGTGGTCTTGTGTTATTTCAGTATTGATAACTAGACTAAGGAATGCCAATATTCTGAAGTATCCTTTACTTTATTACCAAAATTGAGGGAATTATAGAAGACTGGCTCATCCAACAAGTACTGGGGGTTCTTTTGCTTGGAATAAAATGGTTGAAATATGAAGCTGACTACTAACCTCCATCTATTGCCAAGGTTAGAAGTATGTGAATCTTTATATTGACAACTGTTACATGCCTTCATTGCACAGTATTGTACATGGACACATTTTCAACATCACAGTTTACATTCATCTTTTTTCTGAGC